GGAGATTGTCTTGACCATGTCTAAATGCCTAAATGCACTGAGTTGCCGCCATGTTATTGGCTGATTAGAAATTAAGTGTTAATGAGCAGTTGGACAGGTGTACCTAATAAAGTGGCCGGTGAGTGTATATTCAAAGGCTTGGAGAAAAAATATTTAAAAAGCACCCGTTCTTTAGAAGTTGTGAAAACACAATATTTTGAAGGTGCCCTTGGAGGTTTTCTTGTAAACAAGCAGTGTCTCTCCTTACACACAGTCGTACATAAAAAAGTACAATCTATGTACCCACGAGGTCGAAAAACCGTGCTAAAAAAGTTTATTAAAAAGTTTGCACAGCTGTTTTTAAACAAAAACTCAATTTTCTTGTTTTTTAGAATTGTGTTAAAATATTTCCTTTCTTGGCATATTACAAAAACCTGTTTTTGACTTGCTGAGAGCAGAATAAATGGCACCCACATATTCAGAGCTGTGCACCGAGTTAAACATGTTGATAAATATGACAACAAATGACTTAAACATGTAAAATCCATACAAAAAAAGTATTTAATGAAGACAAGTTATTTTAAAGAAAAATACAAAAACAAACAATATTTTCTGCCTAGTGCTGCAAAACTGAGAACTTGGATCCCACAATAAACTATAGTACTAACCTTTGGTTCCCTTTACAGCTCTGTTCTTGTATTAGTCTGTATGCAGTGTAATTATACAACCACAATTTATCTTACTGACATGTTGGTGCAGTCTAAGAAATAGAGGTGATGTGAAATAACATTTGAATATGAATTCAAGGCTTAGATTTAGTGGATGGATTCAGCATTCAGTCTTGATTAATGAGCAAGCAATTATTATAAAACACACCTAAAGACTTGTTTTGCCATTTCTCATTTATCAAAAGATCATTTTTTATGCAAAATTAGCATGAGCATCAATAAGCATCAAGCAAATTACTGTATGTTTACAAACATCTGCAACATTTTTTCTTACAGGCTGTCTATTGAGACTAACTGTGCATAGTGCATTCTGAACCCATCATCTATACCCCCTTCTTCCTTTCAGGGTCACAGGGGGTCACTTGTGTCCATATCCAGCAGTCACTGTGCAAGGGACGGGGTACACCCCGGACAGGTTGTGAGTCCATCACATCACAACAAGGCAGACAACCATTCACTCTCTCAGTCGCACCTAGGGACAATTTAGAGTTGCCAAGTAACTTAACAGTCATGTTTTTGGACTGTAGGAGGAAACCAGAGTACCCGGAGAAAGAAAGAAAACATGCAAACTCGACCCAGAAAGGTCTCCGGACCAGTATTTGATCCGGCGACCTTGCTGAGAGGCATCAGTTCTACCGAACCACCAACTCACACAATTACGGTAACATATATTCAGAACTATACAAGGAACGTAATATGGAAGTCGAGACCAAAAGAACAATGGGCCTCATGCAAGAACCGTTCATACGCACAGATTTGTTCTTAAGTTGTGCGTACGAGTGATTTAGGAGAATTTGTGGCATTCACCAATGTTTTCGTATTCTAAGATTTTTTTCAGATACGAACAAAATTTACACCTGTCGTATATTTTATGAACAGTCAGTCTGCTGTTATCCAGACGGGTTTTCC